CTTAATTTTTGTTGATGGGGGGGGTGGGGGGTGGAAAACAGCTTGTCTCGACAGCTTGCAGATGTAGACATATGGCGCCAAAGTAATAAATCTTGAGGGAGATAATGGCCCCCTGCCGTGAAGTAAACCGACACCCATCCGTTTTGAGGAGAGACGGATTCAGGGTCTTTTCGGTCTAAAAACGACTCTTTTATTAGTACTAAAACAGAGTCGGGCCGGCGCCCGTTTTTGGGGTCGTGCGGGTCGTTTTCAGACTCTAAAACAGGGTCGTTTGTTCTATGCGGGTGTAAAAGAGCTAAAAACTTGTGAAGAGGGTTGCCAACCCTGCTGTTTTCTAACCTTATTGGTGTATTTTTTCAAGCTTGTAATCTAATGTTTAGAATATTTTTGATGGTTTGTTTTTCTCTACTTATTTTCAGATTTTAGGAAAAAAAAGCCATGAATCACATGATTATCATAAACTAGAGCAATAAACGTATTATGGGGTGTTTTCTGGTGTTTTTTACTCTCAGAATGGTATCTTATTAGTCCAAGTGATTGCCAATCCTAATTGTGAATAAAAATTAACTTAAAGCTAGTCATAAAAGTATAAATTTATAAAAATCCAAAAATTCTGAAATTGAATTTAAGTAAGGCCGTTAAAGCAAAGAAAAGTTTATGAACAGTTTTATTTTAGTTTTGCAAAAACTACATTTCAATCTAACTTTGAGGTTAATTCAACCATTTTGAAAAATAAAAATAAATATGAAATATGAACAAATGTTAATGAAAAAATATCAGTGAAAAATTAAACATTTCAACTTGTTCATATTTGTTTGATTAGGCCAATTGTTTCATGTGTTTGTACTACATTGGTATACAAGACAATCAACATTGACATACAAATTTATTCGAAAAGATCAAAAAAGATGTTTTTGCTTTGATTAAGATTCTATTTTTCTATTCTACTTTTTTAGCTGAACTATTTCAACATAATACCTTTGATTATGAATAACTAAAAACTTTGCCACATGTTAAAATAAAGTACAAAATGAAATAAATTAAATAAAACTTACAAATTCTTTTTGCTAATTCAAAAAATATTATTAAATATACAAGGTAAGTTAAAATAAGCGGGATTAGGGTTGATTTATATGGTTCATAATTAGGTTATAACAAAATGAAAGGTTATACCGCTTGTTAAAAAACTTCTTGATTCAATAAAATAACGTTTTCATTGTAAAAAAATCTACGGATTTTATTTTTTAAAGGAATTAAATAAAACAAATTACACATTTATTAAAATCTTACACGCTTCAATCATACCTCATTGAAAAGAAAATGTATTTTACCAAATTAATTATCTTTTCTCCTACTTGGGTTACTTATAATTGAACAACTAGGTCACAAAATTTACCAGCAGCCATTTCGCATTAATTTGACTTTTTCTAATATCATTGATTAGAGTGTTTTGTTAAATTTTATATTTTGATATTTTCAATCTTAAACAATAAACATGAACCGTGAAAACATTTTAAATAAAAATCTTTGAATTATGGCTGTTATCTTATTGTATGTTTATGTTATTAATTATCTTATTGTATGTTTATGTTATTAATTATATTTAAATTATAGATTCAAAACATTCTGATGTTTCTAAAACTTCATCAAACACTGGGAACAAATTTCATATTGATGAAATACCTCCACCAATCATCTTGGTGTTAAACTCTCCAGGAGAGGCCGCCGCAGAGGAGAGGGAGGTTGGTGAGGAAGGGAAGGAGGCTGGTAAAGAGGGTCGAGAGGCTGGAGAGGAAATGCGCCAAGAACTAGACGTATCAGCTGATGAAAATATACAAACTGAAACTGTGAACGAAGGATGGCACGCCAGGTAAGTCGTACAATTGAAAGATGGCTTGAATAAATGAAAGAATATAAAGACGACCTAAGAATATCCCAAGTCAATCATTTTTAATTTTCCGAAAATAGCGTAGGTCATGGATGGATCCACAATCAAGCTATATTTTAAACAAAGGTTTTGTCCGTTTTATTGATTTTTGGTGGGCTAAACCGATAATTGTATTATTCGTACCTTAATAATTTTAAAAGCTTTCCTCTAAACCTTTTAAAAATAGCCAAACTTAATCTAATGATCATATTTTGAGGAGTCTGGCAGTTGAAGGATATAATCCCATGGTAAACTGCTTAATATCAAGTAAACACAATAAACAGAGGTATAATGTTCTTCTAATTCATTTCACAGTTTCAAATTGTTAATTTTCAAATACTGGGGAGAGGATACGGAGAGAGCGAGAGAAAAATAAATTTGTAATCTAATAAAGATGCATACTCATTCCGATAATATAAAGCTACCCCTTTATTCTTTTATGACACAAATATAGTATTTTTAAATCGATATAACTTCAAGTGACCCTCCATTTACAGACTGCTGGTCTCATTCACAAAATTATTCTTTAAACCTTTGCCTGAAACAATTAAAGCATACCTTGTTCTAAGCCTGAAATTTTATTATTTCATTTGCGTTGTTTAAAAAGTTATTCGTGGATGTATTCATCAAAGATTAGAACGAAAATTGAGGAAAAATTTTAATTTTTCGGAATAAAACTTTGATTTTTTTTATTATTTCTTGACAGAAAAAAATTGTATCTTCCTCATTGTTATCTATATACAAGGATTAAAGAGTGCCGTTGTGAATCCAACATGTCACGATCTAAATCCAGGGTTACTTCAATTTACGTCGTGCAGTCCCTTTAACACGCATATACACAACAACAAAATAAAATGTTAATATATTTTCAGGTATCTTTACTGTCCAAGCTTAGGAAATAAATTTAATTGCATTTCTAGCAAAAACAATGTTTAGAAGGAAGCAAAGTTAGATTAATAAATGCACTTTCATGCAATTTAAAATTTATTGTTTCACAGAATCTATGTACAAGGAGGGGAAAGGTCTTTGTTGTGGAGATATTGATTCAAGGTACAATTTAACCTAAAACTTCAAAGTCGTGGAAAGAATTTATAAAATGTCGTCTTAACATTTGTTCAAGGGGTTGTATACTATCCTACCCAAATAGATTATCAAGTACAATAGGTGGCAGCAGAGAAATGGATCAATTATACACGACGTCAAATATAACAAGGAAAACGAAATTTTCTCACATCATTTGACAGGTTTTAAGATTAAATAAAAAATGTAAGAACAAAAAATAAAGAACACAAAAAATTGAACCTTTTTCACTGTAAGATAAGCTCTTTATTCTAAAATTATCACTATTATTAACAATTTTGTCGGACACAAAAACTGAGTTGACACTTCAGAGCCCGAAATTTAAATGAGTATCATAGAACGAAACTCCAGAGTTTCCTTTTTGGGGTCTTAATATTTGTGTAGATTTTGATTTAAGAGATTCGAAAAAATGGACAATATGAAATAACTAAATAAACATAATATTTCATTACACAAATATTGACATCCACAAAACAGCCTAACCCTATTCGTAAAACCCGGGTTTTAAAACTGGTTTTCATAACGATACCCTGTCTTAAATTTTGGGCTCTGATGTAAGAATACAGCTGTACTGAGAGTGTACAAATACTACGTTGCCATCTATTGTACTTAACAATCTATTTGATCCTACCTAAATCTCAGTTACCCACAAAGGATGATACTTTAATAAAGACCTATACCGATTTTAATGTGACGATATGAAGGTTTTGAAAATCTTAATTGTCTTGAATAGTAAATAATCTGTCAAGGAAAAAACAACTAATCCAGCAAATCCTGAGCGCAAGAAACAAGGCTGAATCCATTCCGTACAGTCGTCTCTGAAGTCTTATCCTGTGTGGTGGGTAACTCTTTAAACAATTATATACTGGTATTTTATAAAGTTTAATGAAGCTAAACAAGGATGGAAAATATCTAGCCCTGGGGTATCTTTATTAAACAAGTTAATGTCCATTTTAATAAATTTATCTTTGTTTTTATTTCAGATATTGTTGTAGCACAAAGGAATGAATTGCTTTGTTGGGAGCTGTAGGATTTAACTTTAACACTTTGTTTCACAAAATAACTTAGATTCCCCCAGTGGCATACAGATTCCCCCAGTAGCATACTGATACAGATTCCCCCCGTAGCATACAGATTGGCCCACATCAAAGTGGATATTTTGGACATGACACAAAAAGTCTTTTTGAGAAAACAAAGTTCTCAATGTATTCTAAATCAAAATTTAAGGATAATCCTATATGATCTAGTAAGACCCAGAAAACTATAAAATAGGATTAAGACGACTTTTACCTGAAATTTTGATTTTGAATAGTTTAATGAACATGTAATACATTAATAGTAGAGTAGAGTATACACAGGCGCCTTTCTAAGTTGATTAACTAATTTACAAGATTTTTGAAAAATTAATCTGCTTTGCGACGTAATAAAATAAAAAAAAACTGCTTAAAAGTTGTCTTCCTTTTTCACAGTTTTATGAATCCCACTGTATAGATTACGAAGATAGAGCAATAATTGTTCACATATTTATTTTTTTAGTATCAACTTCTTATCTTTAAAATCTTGATTAGATATAATTTGAAAATCATTGATGGCGTTTTTTAATAGAAGGAACATCTAAATTATGTTATTCTAGCTTTGGGACACAGCTTTCCCTGAACTTTCTCAATAAAAATTGTCCCATTTAACTCAAGAATTTGAAACATTAAGCTGTAAGAACATACCTGTTGTTCTATCAAGTTCTCCATTTAAAATGTGAGGCAAAACGGTCAAAAGGTTCCTGAGATAAAATCGGACATCTAAACAAACAGAGATTGTTACTTTATGTTTAAAGATACAAAGATGGTGCCTTGGCTAAGCTCATTCTGAACAAAATATTGTCCATTTATAAACCCCAAAACATTCTGAACAAAATACTGTCCATAAATAAACCCCAAAACATTTTGAACAAAATATTGTCCATTAATAAACCCCAAAACATTAAAAACAAAATATCGTCCATTTATAAAACCCACAATATTCTAAACAAAATAGTGTCCATTGGTAACCCCAAAACGTTCTGAACAAATAAATTGTCCATTAATAAACCCCATAACATTCTGAACAAAATATGATCCTTTAATAAACCCTAAAACATTCTGCACAAAAAATATGGTCCATTAATAAACCCAAAAACATTCTGAACAAAATATGGTCCATTAATAAACCCCAAAACATTCTTAACAAAATATGGTCCATTAATAATCCCCAAAACATTCTGAACAAAATATTGTCCATTAATAAACCCCAAAACACTGAATCAAAAAGGAATGGAGAGCAACCCAGTTGAAGGATACAGGAAACATAAAACAGGTATTTTTTTTTTAATTTTATAAATTTTCATCTCATTATTAATTTTCTCTCTGCTCAAACCTTGAGAACTTTTGCATTGTATGATTAGTGTCTCTCGACAAAAAAAAACTTTATTTATGATTCAACTGCATAAAGGTTTTTTAATAAATAATGCTTTCTTAAAAAACGTAAAAGTATGTTTTAAAAGTACGCGTACATGTATTGCTTCTAGATTGAAATACATAACAAAGTGTATATCTCTGGTTCCAGAATCCATACACTACTGACTTTCGGATTTTCCTATCCGTTTCGGGGATTTTCATTTTTTACTTGTACTCTACTTTTTGGAGAAAAATTGAATTGTAAAGATGACTAAACTTTCCTGAAATTTTTTTGAACAAATTTGTATTTAAGAATTTTCACGAACATGAGACTGAGACCTTGGGTGAGCATATAAAAGCAGATGTTGAGGAAATAGAAGAATCCCTGCCTGGATGGGCGATTGCTCTTATTACCATAGGTTTGTTCTTTCTTTTACATTCACAGGGTGAAAATTTTCCTTCATTTTTGAAATAATTCACGACATCTATTTTAACAAAGTAAAAGTTTTCATGCTTAACAAAATCGTGAAAATCTGCAATTTTTGTGCTTTTAAAACTAACGGAGATTTTATAATTTTATTTTAATTAAGAATTCCACTGCTTTCTAGTTATACGTTGTACATAAAAGGTAACTGCAAAGCATAAGACATCAGAGACAACTATCAGGAATTTGTTTTTTAGTACAGTCATAATGATCACAACTTTTAAACTCAAATTATGACTGTAGATAGTCCAATGAGCACTGGAAGCAGAAATTGTTAAGTGTAAACAGACCCATTTCACTTAATTTTCTATTTTATAAGTGACTAGTAAAACTATTTGTTTTATAACAATAATATAGCAACATCAGATACACTTACGTTTTGCTTTAAAGTCGTCTTCCTATTTCGGAGTTTTCTTAATACGACTATACTTTTTCAGTTAATAGGTTCCTTCTACATTAAACAAATTTTCTTCTTAGCCAATTCTTGACACTTTTATATATTACATTTAAGGCAAAAGGCCCAATTTAACCTTCAGAGTTTTGGGTAATCAGAAAAGTCTCATTATTTTAAGGTATATCTCAGATTTTATATATGTACTTCTGTGTACACTGTTCTTCTTCTATCCAATGAACGTTAAAAAGGTTGAAAATATTTCTGTTAAACATGTAATTTGTGGAATCTAACATGACCCAGAGAAGATTATAAAGACGGTTCTATATAAAAAAAAACTTTGTTGCCGAAAAAAACGATATTTTTCAAAAATTTTGAAATTCACCAATGTGAATAACATTTAATGTAATTTTTAGGTTGTCTGCTGCTGGGAGCTGTACTGCTGTATATTTTATTCTGTGTACTGTACAAGTTTCTGTGTTGCTCCGTACACCTTTTGTGCTGCTGTTGCTGCTCAGACCCGGAGAAAAATGAAGAACATTCCGTTCTTATACGGGAAACCCACCATCATAATCATCATACCCACTACCAGGCAGCTCCCCTTCCTCCTCCCACCATGTACCAAGTGGTATCCCAACCTGTACAAGCTGTACCAGCCTTGTACGCGAATGTAACGAGTATGCCTCCGAATAGTCCGCCTCCGAGATACGAGCAGCCTACACTGTATCCCAAGTTATCTTAAGATTACAAAGGTCGTCTTTTCATTGGCCATTGCTTCTATTCATAATTTGTTAATTATTTGAAAAATTGAAAGAAAGAAAAACTTTATTGAGTTCCTATTTTTACTGATCTGATTTGTTTACATATTTTCAGTTTTATTTTCTGCATGTTAGAAAATGTGATTCTGAAAAAACGTCTGTTCATTATTTTTTTCATATCAACATCAACGGTTTTTCTGTACTGCATATATGCCCTTGTATTTATGTATTTTAAAATGGTGATTATATTTAAAACTGTATGTATCGATATTCGAAACAAATTTTTTTTTTTATAATATAAATAAAAATTCAAGTATATATGTCGTCTTCCAAAAAGTTTAATTTTGGAGTAGAAAATTAAGCACAAGGTTTTCAATCTGTTCAGAAATTCATAAATTTCGTTTTGGGATATAGCCTATAAGTGTTCTAAAAAAATTCAGTCAGAATTTGTTACGTTAATGTTGACAACTAAATTATGCCAAAATCGTATTTATTTATCTATGTAAATTTTAAAATTGAAAAATTCATTTATTTCAAAAATTGATTGTGCTCACCAAAAAATCTTTAGTTGCTTCCATCGTTATTTAAATAGATACATAGAATTTCATGAAAAAACGAAATTCCAAATTTCAGTTACTCAAACCTGAGCAGTAAATTTATTTTAAGGAATGAGGTTAAAGAAGGAGGTATAATGTCTATATATATATGATTTAAATATAACGTGAACGATGTGTAAAATTTTTTTTAAATATCAAATTTTGAATCTAAAATGCAAAAAAATAAATCATAAATAGTGATTATCATCCCCTACTTTTTTTTTAAAATGTGGTCTATACTACCTTTTTGCATATTTAATTATCCTTCAAAGAGGGTAGAGGATAAAATAGTTACCCAGTCGATGATTTTTTGGAAAAATTTTGAAAAGAAATTCTTTTATGATAATTGGACTACAATATATATTTCAGGATGAATTTTAAATTCTAATTTTGAAAACAAAAATACAATCAATTTAAAACAAATGAAGAGCTTATAGTTACAATCAAAAATTTAAGATTACAAAAAAAAACTATTTTTAATCTTGTGTCAATCACCCATTTTACGTTTTTGGGACAGATTTCGTCAAAATAAATTGATTTTTTTGAATTTGCTATTCGTTTAATGAACGTCAAATATCTTACAGGAAATTGTTTACAACTTTTTAAACAACAATCAACTAAATTTTAAGATGTTTTAGAATTTGTTTAAATAGTTCTTTAATAATCGGTAAATCGTGCAATATTTTGTTCTAAAATATAAGTAAATACAGAGGTTCGAGTAATAAATACATGGATATAAAATTCAATTATTCCAGAAGTTTCTATTTCTGAATATTTTAGAAATATTGTTAGTCTATAGTCATCGTCGTATATTTCAACACAAAGAAGACGACTTTCAATTTCATTTTTATTTTAACCAAGAATTCAAACAGTATGATGGATGCACATAATCATGGAAATAAAGATAAGCTGTCATTTAACAGCTTCTCTAAGTTTACTTGCAAACCTTTAATTTGAAAAAAGCTTGTAGGAAATCAAAACTTGAATAGAAAAGTCGTCTTTATTGTTGTGATATAAACGCCGACCACTGTAGTAGTTATACAAGAGAATCTATCATAGTTTATCACAGACAGTCAGGGAATGTCGTCTTTCTTATTCCAGTTTTTAGCTTTCAGCTGTTTGGAATTTGGATAGGGTCAGCTGTTCGGATGAATTAAGCTTTAAGATATGGTCAGCTGTTCTGATGGGGCAGCTATTTCGATAAGGTCAGCTGTTCTGATTAAGTTAGCTGTTTAGATAGGGTCAGCTGTTCTGATAGAGTCAGCCGAGATTTAGAGACCCATGGTGGTCACATGATACATCTTTCCTCAAATCTGAAATATATTATATTAGATGATAGAAATAAAAGGATTAAAAGATCCTCCAAACAAAATATGAAAAAAGATTCAGAATAATTTAGTATTTCATCATCTCATAGAGCTCAAGACTCGGAGTCCATGCACTCGATCAAAATAAACAGTATTTATCTTTTTTATTTAAATTGGGTCTAATTGTCGGCACATTTTAAAAATTTCATTGTTCAGTGGTGGTCAGAATAATATTGTATAAGAATATCGATATAAACCCAATCTTTCCTAATTGTCTTCTTATAACTTTTGTGTTTCAAAACGGTGTATCTATACAAAATGCTATCCTACAAAAACGATGTTTCTATAAAAACGCTACACTACAAGACCGCTATACCCAATACTTAAGCACTGTACTATAAAAAAAGATACTAAGGCTAAATTCGCTACTATTTTCAAACGAAACCTACCATGGCACGCACATACTTCGCATTATCATGAAACCAAGGTATTTATCATGAGTTTAAGTGTTCCAAGAATTGAAATTAAAAGATTTAAATAAGGTCTTCGGAGGATATAACAAACGCATAAACATAGACTAAACATAGCACAGACAAAAGAGAAATGATATGAATTCCTACATCATTGTAACATACTTTTCATTTCAAGTACCAGGCCTACTTTTAAGAGCAAACTATACAGTACACTTACAGATCAATGTGAAGAAAAAACGTGACAGTAAATCAAATAAATTTTACCCTTATAGTAAAGTTTAAGTGGCATGGAATAAATCTCATAGACTAACCATAGAACAGACAAAACAGAACAAATATTAATTTCTGCATCAAGTCCATAACATAGACTAAACAAATAACAGACAAAACAGAACAAATATTAATTTCTGCATTGAGTCCATTACATAGACTCTGACAAAACAGAACAAATATTAATTTCTGCATTGAGTCCATAACATAGACTAAACATAGAACAGAAAAAACAGAACACATATTAATTTCTACATTGAGTACATAACATAAACTAAACATAGAACAGACAAAACAGAACACATATTAATTTCTGCATTGAATACATAACATAGACTAAACATAGAACAGACAAAATAGAAAAAATATTACGTAATATATAGACTAGATATAGAACAGACAAAACGGAACAAATATTCGTATCTGCATGGGCTAAATACCATAAACTAAATATAGAACAGACAAAGGAGAACCAATAATCATTTCTTCATGGAATTCATATCAAAGCACAAAGGATATCAACACATAAATCAATTCCTGGACGACAAGACAAGTATAAGTATCTGAAGAATATAAAATGCACACCAGATATTCGTTCTTAGAAATATTTTGTCTTTGAACATTCACTGCTAGCGTTGACATCTAATAATCTTGCATTATAGTTCCTAGATAAACCTTGATCTTAAACCAGAACGAATTTCAAATAGTATTCTAAGAAGTTCTGCAGTTCTAAGCATGTATGCAAAAATTTACATATCCTTCTAAATGCTTAAATCCCTTTTTTCGAAATTATTTCTTCGTGTTAGCTTAAAAGCAAAAGTTTATAAGTATTAGAGTTTCTACGGAATGCACAGGGTTACCCGAAAAATATAAAACTTTTATGGCGAAAAGATACGAAATGTTTGAAGGTAAATTTAGAACAGTCTGACGGTCCATTTATCGATTTTTAAATAAAAAATGAAGAAACATAAACAAAGTAATAACACTGAATTTGTGAGAAAAAAAAATATTGAAGAAAACCCGTTAAACGTCGTTTCTGTAGTTTTTTTCTTAGGGTATGAGGCTCTTGAGGCCCTGTATATTAACAGAGCAGAAACACCATTAATGTGGAAAACTAAAAATGCTATGAGCTGAAAACTTTAGAATGGTGAATATTGAGATTAATGCTTGATCCTCTCTTTTTTCTTAATATCGAGACTAACCTAATCTTGTTCTTGTATCCTGAAAAGTGTATAAAATTCAACCAATCAGAGTCGCTTATATGAAGCCGATAAATTTGAAATTTTGCGCGCCATTTAAGATTATATGCAGAAAAGGAAGGGAATCACTAAATTTAAAAAACCGGTTTTTGATTTTTCTCTACTATATCCAAGCAAGAACGGTTTAAGAAGAAAATCAAAAGTGTGTCCATTGGATATCTCATTCTAAAGTTTTCAGCTCAGGGGGCATACTAAAAATAAATATTCTCATAATCCTGTAATTTTTTAAATCTTGTGAGTTCTATTGAAATAAACAAATATTATTACAGTTTAAAAAAGAAGCTAAGCCACGAAGAATAAAGTTAAAAGATAAAAAAAGTACTTACGGTCCGCTATCGAAAGAGACGGCTAAAGCTGAGTTGGATGATTTCATCTGAGCTTCTTTTGCTGCTAGTTTCTCAACTTTTAACGCTAATTCTCTAGAAAAAAAATCATTAATGGACTAGGCAGCAGCTTTTAAACGCAAGTTTTGCGTCTTAATTGGTCTTGTAAAATATGCCACAAAATGTCGTTTTTTCTATAATTTAAAAAGTTTAGTAATTTTACAACATACCCTGCCTTAAAACTTTTTTTTAATAAATAATAATTTCTACAAAATATACGTACTAAAAACAGAATACAAAACTTGTTTTGCCATTTTTTTACCCGTTCTAACATTGGATTGTTGGTACCTACAAATTCTGTTATTTAACATTTTTTTTTCATACATAACATTCAGATCAGGCTTTCTTTGTTGAAACAATCTCAAATGCTTTTTTTTTGGAAAAATATGTTTGGCAATATGAACACAAATATGTTTGATAATATGAACACAAAGATGTTTGGTAATATGAAAAAAAAAATGTTTGGCAATATGAACACAAATGTTTGACAATATGAACACAAAGATGTTTGGCAATATAACACAAATATGTTTGGCAATATGAACACAAAGATGTTTGGTAATATGAACACAAATGTTTGGCAATATGAACACAAAGAATTTTAATTGTGGGCAAAGTTTCTACAAAACATGATGCTTTATGTTTATTTGAGACTAGTTCTACTGAGAACGTAGAAAACAATAGTTTCTCACGGGGTTTCAAGTAAAAATACATCTTCTGCACATGGTCACACGATTCACGGGATTTCACACACTTTTACAAGGAAACAAAACGTTGCGGATTTTCTTAGAAATTATCACGACATTTTCAGAATCAGCGCGACTCAGAATCTAAGGCGTGGAATGGCTGATTCACAAGAGAACCCTTTAGTTTTCATTCAGAGATAACACAAGGAATTAATATGGTTCTTCTATCCTAAAACCTGTTTAATTGTTTAATAAACTACAAATTCACTGAAATATTGAGAAAATTATCAAGAGCTGGGATTTATTTTGGTTGGATACTAACAATCTCATCGCTTGATTTCAATATTTACTGTGAGCACTTATTTAAATTGAGAATTAGTGTTGGATCTCTTCACTTCAGTTACTCCTCCAGTGCAGGGTAGGAATACCAAAGAGAATATTAAATAAAGAATAAATTAATCTGCAGATTAACATAAAGATCGAGATCATGCATTTATCTCGATATCCACAATCCAATTGAGTTCCCACCTTTGGTTCCAACTTATTAAATAACAAAAAATTGTATTTGTTTAATATCTCCGTCAATTTTGAAAATAAAGCTACATTCCTTTCTTTGATACAATTTTTGCCATTTATGGCATATATTTAAAATAATAGATCATTTCTAATTCATCTCTTATTATTGGGAAACCCTGTTTTTAAATTTTTCTCAAGATTTTTTTACATAATATTTAAAATAAAATTTTCTTAAAAAAATTGGAATAATTATTGCAGACAACTGAAAGTTGTTCTACTTCACAAACTTGAAAATTCGTTCGCTTAATAAAAAAACAAAACTGTGCACAGTCCTAGTTTATTATCCTTTTAACCNTCTACAAAAGTACAGGGTTTTGAATAACGATTTCTACAAAACTACAAGGTGTTAAAAACGATCTCTACAAAACTACAAGGTGTTAAATAACGATTTCTACAAAACTACAAGGTTTTAAAAACGATCTCTACAAAACTACAGGGTGTTAAGTAACGATCTCTACAAAAGTACAGGGTGTTAAATAACGATCTCTACAAAACTTCAGGGTGTTAAAAAAAAAGTTAAGGTATAAGATTATAACAAGATATTCTTTAAAACAGTGAGAATCGAACTGAACACTCGCAACAAACTATAATTTTCGAATCCCTATATGTTTGTAGCATGATGATGTAAACCTTAGATATTTCTAAATATTTTGCCTACCTGAATTCAAGTTTAAAATATTCAAAACCAGGTTAGAAAGATATAGGAATTTGAAAATTAATGATTATGGCGCGAACATAATCATGCAACTTAAAGTTGTCTGATTCGATCCAGTACAATGATTATCCAACACGTGTTATGCATCAGGAAAAAGACAAGATCTCTGTTCCTTTAGAATTTTTGTGTAGGCACCCTGTTGTATATTAAGCAAAATATGTTCTATGTAAAATATATGTTTTCCATGTATCTCATTAGCACGAACCAAAAACCAAACCATTGAGAGGATAATTAGGTCAAATTTATCCACTGTGATTTCAAGGTTGCAAGCTCTTAAAAAATTGATGAGAATTTTGGCAATAACTTCTTTAAAACCAAAGCTAACAACAAGTGCCTTAGTGATAAAATGTACATGTACAGGGCTAAAGAAAAGCATAAGAAATTTAGAGCGGTAACATCAAAGCCCAAGGCGTTGCGACACTTCAGGGTCGACCCTGTCTTAAAAATTGATGAGACTTTTTATAAGCAGACTGAATCTATGTGCTAGTCTTCAAGTAACCCCATCTTGCAGTTTTTATAGTGTACTGTACTGAGTACATCACATTAATGTACGTAGTTCATGTTTTTATCTAGAAATAAATTGTAGTTCTTATTATTTTGAATTTAGACGTAAAACTTGAATCAACAAAAACACATCAAAAGCTTTAATTTGTATTTGAAAAAATTTAAATATAACTTTGAACTTAAAGGCATTATACACTTACTTAAAGATGTAATGCACGCGTCGCATTGACTTTAACATCGTACTTTGAGAGAAGGTTTTTTTTGCAATTTTCTAAATTTCTATTTCTGCAACTTAAGTTAATCTTGAGAACTTTGAGAAGAAAGAAGTTCTGAAAAATCTAAATTCCTCTTTTAATATTACTTCTAGAGATAAAGAAACTAAAGATAAAGTCTAGCTTTTTCACTTTAATTTTTTTCTTTTAATCTGAAAAACATTTATAAAAATAACAATGACAAATCTAAGTTCATCTTTCGGTATCATTTCTCACAAAAGCATTTCTTATCGGACTATTTGGAAAAAGCATTTCAAATTTCCAAATATTTTGTTTTTGACAAAATTCAATAATTAATGTTTTTATACGATTTTAAAGATTCTGAGGCATTTCTAAACGGTTTTTATTTTTTATCATTTTCTCGCTATGGCTGAAGCTTTCATCGCCACAAATAGTAACGTTTTTTAACACAGGTTTAACTCATCAATTTCAGGTAATGTTTCCAAAAATCTATTTTGGGCTAGAAAAATAAGGATACCTCATTTATCCTTCAAAGACTGGTTTTAAGGATATATTTTTGCATCGGACATAACACTCTTCACACGGAGGGTTTGGTTATATTACGTGTTAATATAGTCCCGTACGTTGTACACGTGTACAATCCCTTTAATATAGTCCCGTACGTTTTTCACGTGTACAGTCCCTTTAATGTAGTCATGTACGTTGTACACGTGTACAGTCCCTTTTTATGTAGTACCGTACGTTGTACACCCTGTTGTATATGTTTATTGTTTATAGATATGGAAAACCTTTAAATTGTAGTACTATATCCAAACCATAGTTATAAACAAGACATATATTGACCAGGAACCGTCATATCTCATGCGTCAAATCTGTGTACTGCAGTGGGAGGAAATCAAAACAAAGAATTCAAGGGCAACGCATCATTTTTGAGGGAAAATGGCCCAAGGGATGGAATAAGAATATATTGCTATTGTATTTTCTATATTGACCAGAAACCAAAAATCATAAGTATTCGCTCTAACTTGATATATTAACTTGGTTTGTTGGACTTTAATATCACATCAGAGATTTAGTCCTTTCTCTTCAACTTCTGTGGGGGCACTGGGTTTGTTTACATTCCTCCCATAGTGTTGCAGTACAAAATATACGTATATCTGAGTTGGGCGCGTTCCTGTATATAGTTCCTTGGTTATAAGAAAACCATGGGATTTGAACATTCAAAAACCATGAAACCTCGAAATAGAAAGTTTTCACAATTTTAATTTTACTTTATTATAAAAAATATAAATAATATAATTTATTGCTAAGCTACATGCACAGTTTTAAAAATAGAAAAATATTTCAGTATAGATATTTTTTATAGCCAAGAAAAAAAGACAGAAATATTGCAAAGGAATTTCTAATACTAAGAATGTTTTCAACCATACAGGGATTAGAGTTTGTGGCAAGAGTACAGTTTCCTATGCAGGCTCCATCAAATGTGGGCAGAATATTTAATTTACCATAAAATTTTGCTCACTAAAAGTATATAAATATAAGTAATAAATCAAATATGAATGAAGCTATTTTTTTATAATATATCTAGGGTTAAGGAAAAGATACAGGAATTAATATTTAAGCTTAATCAAGAAGCAAAAAAAATAAATACAATAAAGCGATATTATAGATATTATGCAGGGTTAGTTATGGAAGCGGTGTATAGTATACAGTAAACTTAATTATTCATAATTACATATTTACAATATTTCAAACATCTGGAACCAAGGATAGGCAAGGTAGGAGGGAGATGGGGTTAAATTTAAAGGAATAAGGGGGTGTATGGGGATCGGCGACCCATATCTTTTAAATTTAAGAAAACAAAACTATGCAAGAATAAACAGTTGAATGATCAAAATCATTAATTATTTTCCAAGTATTTTTTTTATTTTGAATGAATTGAGTCTATGCCACAAACTCAAGTTTTCTAATCCCTATATCTTTGCAACTTGAAATTTAAAACTTAACTAAATGATCTATTATATTTAATAGTTTGAAATATCCAAGATCTTTGAAACTGGGTTGCCAAGATAGATTTAACTTGTACAAATATAGGGATTAGAAAACTGAGTTTGTGGCAATAGATAATGGAAGTCTTTTAAAAAGGAAATACAAAAGAAGTTTTTCTTTTCATTGTAGGGAACTGGAGAGATAAGAAAAAAGAAAATGTTGTTAATTTTTATTTTCAGGGATAAGAGATTTGGGAAAGCAAAAATAACAGAAGAAGGAGGGAAAGGAGAAGAAGGAGGAGAAGGCGGAGAAGAAGGAGGAGAAGGAGTAGAAGGAGTAGAAGGAGAAGAAGGAGGAGGAGAAGGAGTAGAAGGAGAAGAAAAAGAAGGAGGAGAAGGATTATGAAGAGAAGGAAGGAGAACACGGTGTTAGGAAGGACTTGAATTTCTGAAAAGATTAAAAATAATCTTAAAATTGATCGCCAAAACATTTTAAACATTATATTGTCCTTATAATTAATCGTAAAAAACGTCCATTAAGTTTCCTTCGATCCGTATGTTCCCCTTCAACTTTTCATCTTAAAAGGAATTTGCAAAAGTAAGCCGTTGAAAAATAAAATAATTTTTCAGTTCGGGAGTAGTATACTAAACTACATTTATTTACATTTAATGTTTCTGGAGATCGAATTTAATGATTCAACAATTATTTTTACAGAAACATCGGAGATTAATACAGAGACCAGAGAGGAATTATCAAATTGTTTTTTTTATCATCTTACAATCCCTTTCACTTATGACGAAAACTTCTTTTAATACTATCGTTATTCTCTATACCTTTTTTTGTAAACTTTTTATGATCATGCATATATAATCTTCCTTCCTTCCTTCCTTCTTGTTTAAATTACTTATTTGTTGAATGCACTTAATCCTAATTCTGGTTATAGCAGTATCGTGTTTTCAAGCTGTTACCTGCACATAGCACATGCATTATGCAATTGTTAAACTTGAACAACTATACAATTAGATGTTAATCTGATCCTAACTCCATGCCCCTTGCTTCAAGGTTGTATTTAACACATTAAAAAAGCAAATAAAAACTCAAACTCTAATTTGTTTTCCTTTCTATCCTTTAACCCGATTTCAAAGATAAAATGATGAGAAAAGTAGAGTTTGTGGCGAGTGTTCAGTTTCTTTGTTTTGATAAAAAATACACTCCTGTATGCCGAGTCCATTAGCGCCTGATCCAATCAGGGTTCAGTCATGTATTTGGTGTCTATTCTGAACCAATATAAATAGTATGGCTGTAACATCTATCTTTCTATCTATCTTATTATCCAATTAGAGATATATCCTTATATCTGCGCTATACACAAAATGGAAATATTTACTTCTACTGAAACTATGGTGAATAAAGGGACAAACTTACTTTTCCTTCCTTTGTTTTCTGATGTTGTTTATCCTGTGATAGATTGCAAAGAGAATAAAGAAGACGACAATCAGTATAGCAACAGCAATCACGGCAATGACTCCGGACTGAAGTTCTAAAATTAAAAAAATATTTAAAACTTGTGGACTTGTTGTTTATTTTTAGAATTTATGTTTTTTCAATTTATTGTCTTGAGTACAGCTGATTTCTTGTTCCAGGGGTATATTGTTTACAAATGGAATATTTTTGAGTGTTTCAAAGTGATCTTTAATTGATCTTATGTTTAGTAAATCAGTTTTTGAAAAGAGATTATGTTTAGTCCATTTATTTTTATTGTTTTTTTTTTTATCAATTATCAAGTTGATGTTGTGTAATTGGTCTAGGTTATTGAAAAAAATTGAAGCTGGATAAAATGTTGAAAAATTGTTTATTTAATAATTTAACAGATTTTAAGTTGATGTAAACTTACTGTTATTGTCAAGTCTCTCGACCAAGGTTTCAAAGCAGTTTGTTTGAAAAATATTTAAATCTACAGAAGCTTCAGCACACACAATATACTTTCCCATTGGCAGGTTGTCCAACCCATACTCCTGCAATGGATAATTAATATGTGTTTTTTTTTGTAAATTTAAATTACATCTTTAAATGTCCCTTAGGTATAGACCTAAGGGGAGTGTGATAGGGGTTGTTTATATTTAACGTTACGTATTTAACAGAATTAATCACTTTTTTGATCGAAAAACAAAACAAAGATGGAGAGTAATTTAAGATTACGTATATAGTTCTTTTCAGATTTTAATGTAGAAAAGGTGATGGAAGGTGTTTGCTTGTGATATCTCACACGACAAGAGGGAAGTTAGAAAAATTTGGCCCAGAAAGATGTCGAAATTTAAGTTTCTTTTAAATACATTAAAACAACGAAAAAAATAATCCAAATGTTTTTAGTTTCAACACACAAGTAATAATAGGGTGACCTGAAAACAATATATAAAAGCTAAATGAAAACTAGAAAAGAAGATGCGAAGCGCCCTGAATTTACCTGGCTGGCCTGGTTTAGCATTATAAACGATTCAACAACGGGATCATCCAGATGATGCATTAGTGGAGGTTTATTTCGAGGAACTCGTTCATAAAGAATCTTTATCTATAAGCAAAAAATATTAAATATACATTTATACCTAGAACACTGTAGAATTGGAAGACGATATTAAAGCAATGTTGTTACAAAGTAAAAAGCTTTACTAGTAAGTTATCAAATCAATTGTTAAGTGAAATGGGTCTGTTTACACTGCACAATTGCTGTGCCTCTTATGTACATTGGAATAATCATATCTTGAGCCGACTTAAAAGTCGACTTTCTATTCACGAGTTTTCTGGTTATAACTGTAGTTCGGATTAATTTTTAAGCTGTACACCATTGGATACATTTAATCTATTGATGTTGATCAGACACTTTAAATAACCCTGGGACCATATGGATTTTATTTTTTTTTTTGAATTACCAACATGCAGTAAACATTGTCAATTAAACTTTTAAAAAATCACTTTAATTTTTTTTTTGATTTTTAAAAAAGGGGTCAGTGCAAGCATTTTTAATAGTGAACAATCATAAAGCGAGGTCGATTTTTCAATTTTTCAAAACATGGCGATATGGGTGTCTAAAGTTGCGCCTCTAACCACTGAATATTGCCCAGTTGTTGGATTTTTAATTGGTAAAATTTGTTGATCAAAGGCAAAAAACTATTATATTTGGACGACTCTGGCAAATATCCGCTGAAAAGTCCGTTTTTTGCTTATAACTTATTTAATTTTAAATCGTTTTTAACGATTTTAACATTTTTGAATTCAGTGTTTCAAGACGGATTCTTTGGTACCCATATTTTGAAAAAAACATTTTTTTCCTTGTACTAGTGATTTATTAGTTTTAAAAACTTAATGCGCCGCATAAATTTAAAAATGAGACAAAAAATTCACATTTTTGTTTTGCTTTTTTATGATAAAAACGTTTAAGACACTTACTGAGAGGATCTGCACATTTTGATCAAAAAAGTGTCAATTGTCCCACCATTACTTATAAATGGAAAGAGGTGAACACATTAGAAAGTTTGTTCCTTTCTCATTTTTTAACCGCTGCAAGGATTTCCATTAATTCAAAATGTTCCATCTTGTACAATAGAAAGTGAGAATTTTTTTAATTTCAAACCTTTTTATAAAGTTTAACATAAAGTCCTCAGGATCGGTAAATGAACATGTAAATAGATTTAATTTAATATTTTAATGCACAATAATTCGAAATAATAGAACTTGGTTCTCTTAATTAAAATTTGAACAAGATACAATTTTAACAGAAATATCAATTAAAAGTTTAAATTAATCTAGATTTAGGATTTTCTAAAAACTAAACTAACCGTGGTTTTTGGATGCATTTCCTTAGGTTTAATCATTAACCGCATAGAATGAGGTTGCACGTCCATAAGGGTGATAAGGGGATTGGAGAGGGATAGGTGGACATGGTTTTCCTCATGCATAGGGTGCTCCTAGAATATAATATATTCATGAGGGGAATAAGGGTAAAGAGTAAATGAGTAAACAATTCATGAATAGAGTGATATAATAACTTTGAGGGGAATAATATGGACATCGCTTTCCTCATGCATAGGGTGCTCATAGAATATTAATTTAACGCTTTTTAAATATTTTCATTTTTTAATCACTAGACTGAGCCCAACTTCTTTTTAACTCTTAATTGTAGCTCTAATCTGTGGCCATCTTATCTTTGTACATTATAAAACAATTGAGTAAATTTTGTAATTCTGAGCATCCATAAACTTTCCCTGGGGTAACAAAAAATAAGGACCTGATCGGTTCAGCCATTTTGACGTTTATCGGTTAGAAACTAAAAACCAAATTGACACACAAGAAAAGTATATTTGTTGATGTAAAAATACCATTATATTCTCGAACTTCCTGTCCTCCACGTTGTCCAGGTTGATCTCATATTTCTTCTCAAGTTCATGGATAAACATCTCCCGTGCTTCCTCCAACCCACCCTTTAGTATATATATAACATATATATAATCATGCATGGGACAAGATGCATTCGGCTTCTTCTATTTGAATTTAATCCAGTTTTGGTCTATAATTCAACATTCTTTAAAGTTACGGAGTTGTCTTTCTTTCATTGTTTATTCAAAACGCATGAGCCGACAAAAAAGTAGAAAAGATCAAAAGGCAACGCATTTATGTTTTGTAGGTTAAATTGTAATAGAAAGTCACAGTTATTTGTTTATTAGGACTGAACCGTTAAATCCGCATTATACATATGAAGACGACTGTACCTTTACTGAGTACATAAAATATTGTACTCCCAAGTACAAATACACATGTTTATGCCAACAATACATGACTACGAACACACATTTAAAATCTAACTAACAGATTCTATGTAGAGTATCAAAGGGATTGTAAGCGTAATTTCAAGTGATCTTACATTTAAAGATGGGCATCCCAATTCACAAAAACCTTTGACTGATCATCGAGGACAGAGATCTCAGTGTTTATATCTCTTAAATTTTTTTCAAAACTTCGAATGTTAATATTTATATTCTGTCAGTTTTTGTAATTAAATATTTATTATTCAAATAAGTGTTTAAAACTCGCAAACACAGTCTGTCATCCTAGATCAAACAAAGGTTTAAAGGGTACCGTTGTGAATCAGAGAAGACCCTCATTTCATGAAAGGTCACTTGAAATTACGCGTACAGTTCCTTTAATATCCAGGAGGGTGGAGAGGCAAGGACTGTTTAAATATGGATTTCAAGGGGTCGGGGGAGCCATTGTTTAAGACAATTAAATCAACGAGAATACGGATAATATGGAGTTACGAAGTATAAAAGCAAAAAAAAAACATTACTTAATTATTTTAACCCATAAAAATTAATTTTACGTTTTTAATTTTGAATGTTTACGTTGTTTTGCAAAATTTTACATGTTTACAGTGTTTTGTAAAAATTGTAACTTTGCAAACTTGTGTCACCCATCTCCCTGGCACCCTGCATACTCCGATGATTAAAGAAATAAGAAAAAGGAAAAACATTTAGATTCGGAAGATGCAAATCTTGTAGTTGCATAAAGCACTATCAGGAGATATACTTGAAATTATATTGGACTGAAAAATATAAAAACTATGTGAATCAGTAAATAAAGTACGCGAATTCAAATTTGTATCAGATGGTTTGCAGATAAAGACCGGACTGCTAGTTTAAATTAGAAAAGAAGGGTGTTGGCATACAATACTTTAAATTTTGTCCAAAAGGTTCAACAGTTTTGAAGAGAGAGTGTCACATTTGCATTTTCGTCTACCTGAACATGAGGATCGAAGAAATGATCAGTTTTAACATCCTCCTCCTCAGACTCCAGTTCTAACGATCCCTGGGCCTCGAGGATCTCTGAATTAGAGGTTACAACTTCGTAGAGGTCGGAGCTGAGGATTCCGGCAACCTCCTGCTCCCCCTCCCAGTCCAGACCCTGCCTGGAGAATCCAGACTGAAGACTCTCATGAAGATGAGTTTCTGAACCTTCATCTTCATCCGTAGTAAACTCAGACCCGGATTGGAAATATTCTTCTTCGTCAACTTCAAACTCATGGTTACCATAGAGATCATGATCGGATTCGGGTTCAGGTTCGGGCTCAGAGGTAGGTTCCGGTTCGGAGGCAGATTTGGGGGCAGGTTCGGAGGCATGTTCGGATGCAGGTTCGGAGGCAGGTTCGGGTTCGGATTCAGGTTCAGGTTCTTTAATCTCTGGGTAAACTTCTGGTTCAGGTTCCGTATACTCTGGATAAAACTCATCCTCTGCATTACTCTGGAAATCACGAGGAAGCAGGGAGGGATCCTGAACCTCCTCAAACTTAATTGTAAACGTCTCCTCAAGGCTCAACGATGCACTGTCCCCGTAACCTAGATTTAACATAAAATAAGTTCCTAATATTAATTTGATTTGGCATTTAAATCTTTGCAAAATTCAATGAATCTCTGCTCTATTGGAAGTTAGTTAAACGAATTTATCTAACCTGGAGTACTGGTGGGATGGATCTTTACTATTAAGAGAGTACCAGGAGTATATTCAACCTGGAGTACTGGTGGGATATATCTCCACTATTGAGAGAGTACCAGGAGTATATCTAACCTGGAGTACTGGTGGGATAAATCTCCACTATTGAGAGAGTACCCGGAGTATATCTAACCTGGAGTACTGATACTATTGAGACAGTACCCGGAGTATACCTAACCTGGAGTCCTGGTGGGATGTATCTCTACTATTGAGAGAGTACCAGGAGTATATTCAACCTGGAGTACTGGTGGGATAAATCTCTACTATTGAGAGAGTACCCGGAGTATATCTAACCTGGAGTACTGGTGGGATATATCTCCACTATTGAGAGAGTACCCGGCGTATATCTAACCTGGAGTACTGGTGGGATGTATCTCCACTATTGAGAGAGTACCCGGCGTATACCTAACCTGGAGTACTGGTGGGATGTATCTCTACTATTGAGAGAGTACCCGGAGTATAAACCTCCTCAGACGCTTCAGTAAATCCTAAACCAGTCTGAGCAATTGCTTCTATATCCCCATTTCTAGGTTCAGCAAAAGGCTTCTGAACTGGGTCTTCTTCTTTAGTAGAATCATGTCCTTCGTTCTCTGATGGATTAGGTTTCGCCTCTGGTTCTTCATTAACTTTAAAAGATAAAATTATAAAATTATAAAAATATTCTAATAATTGTAATTTAAAAACATGAAGAAAAAATCAGGATAAGTGTTAAATCATCTTTTAAAATCATGAACAATCACTTTACCTGAAGTAGGTTCGGTAGGACTAATCCTTATCCTTGTCTCCACCTCAGACTGAGAGCTAGCAGTGGACATCTTTACTAAATATATATCTCCAATATCCTTTTCTTCTCTCTCTCCCAGGGGGGTTTCCGTAGACTCCTTCTTCGAGCTCCCTTCCTGGATAGATTCCTCTACTGGACTCAATTCATCGTTAGATTCCTCTACTGCTATGCTCGCCTTAGCAAAAAATCAATGTAACTATAAATCAATAAAAATATTGTAAAAATATTATTCAAGGATATTTGACAAGGGTTTTCAATTTGTGTTCGCATGATTGCGAACATGACCCATTCCTGGTTTTCTTACATTAAAAATTTTAAAACTTGAGAAATTCCTGTTCTTAATTAATTATTGATTTTTATTTATAATTTAAGCTAAAATATCATTAGGCTCAGGAAAGATTAGTGCTTTTCCTAATTTATCAGACTAATAAAAGTTTCTTGATTTGTTTTTGTATTCAAATAGATATGTTTTGCTTTGTATAATGTAAAAACAAACTTGACCTTTTATTGCAAATTTAACTTTGGATTTAGCAGAATTCAGAATTGGAAAAATCAAAGGATACAGGGCACAAAGATATAAGGAGTAGAACAAGTTTGTGAAAAGACTTCATCATCCCGGTTGAATTTTTCTATAATATGAGAGGTAGGGGGGGGGGGGGTAATACAAACCTCTGTTTGAAGATGAGTTGGTAGAATTGTATGATGAATCATTTCTGAACCGGATTCAACAGCTAAACAAACAGAATATGAAAGAGACTGTTAACATAATTTAAGGTATCCCACATTTAAGAGATACAAGATCTACATGCCCGATTCACAACGACGGTTTATAAGAACAACCATTAGAAAAATTCTCTGTGGAAAAGTGTTTAATTCTAATAAAAATCCATCGTTTGTCTCTGGTGTCCTGAAAAAATCCTGAACAAATTTTTGATTTGTTTTTGGTTTGTTTTTTATTTGTTTTTGTTTAAGATTTTGCAAACATTTTCTCTCAAGGTCAAAATATGGTAATGTAAAAAAGGAAAAGTTTTCTAAAGTGTCTTTTCTAATTTCTATAAACTTCTACCCTGAGAGAAAATACCAACAAAAAAATATTCATAAAGAACAAACCACGATACAAATAAAAAAGCAAACTTTAACCGAGTACTGTTTAAACGTACAACAAGTTTTACTTAAAGTTTAACTAAAACGATTAACAACAGTAGGTGGAAGGATTATGTTTTTAAGTGTGGTGGGGGGATGTAGTAGCGAGGTAGTCCTTATTTCTGACAGTATTTGTATTTATCCTTGAAGTATGATTAATTAGCTAGAAGAACAAAAATATGCAAACATGTCGGAAATAAGAATTTTATGGAAACAAATTTAATTGAGTTGAGTAGAGGATACAAAACCACAAGGCTACAAGGATACAGGATACAGGATTACAGAATAATAAAAGAGGATACATGGAACCAAGGATACAAGATACAAAGAATACCATTAGTTAAAAAAGGATACACTATACCAAATTAAAGCATAGTTATCAGGTACATGAAAAAAAGAATACATATAGTCAGGAGGATACAGGGAACCAAGGTTACATAATGTAGAAAGAATATAGATACAGATAGTTGAAGGAATATAGGGAACCAAAGATACAGATAGTTGAAGGGATATAGGGAACTAAAGATACAGAAAGTTACAGGGATATAGGGAACCAAAGATACAGATAGTTGAAGGGATATAGGGAACCAAAGATACAGAAAGTTGAAGGGATATAGGGAACCAAAGATACAGATAATTGAAAAAATATAGGGAACCAAAGATACAGAAAGTTGAAGGGATTTAGGAAACCAAAGATACAGATAGTTGAAGGGATATAGGGAACCAAAGATACAGAAAGTTGAAGGGAGGGCACCAAAGATACAGATAGCTGAGGGGATATAGGAAACCAAGGGTACAGATAGTTGAAGAGATACAGGGAACCAAGGATACAAAGAGCCAAGGATACAGATAGTTTAGAGAAGGATACTTAAAATTAATCATAGATATATAGTTAAGAATGGGATATACAGTGAACAACGAATTCATGCAGTTAAAAATACAAAAGAAACAAATTCAGGTAACCACAAATACATATAAAAAATATATGAAGGATACACAAATAAAAAAGTAGATAGAGGAAACCAATAGAGAATAGATATGTAAATTAGCTACAACAATAAAAATAGGTAAATCTCCACTATACAACAATTACATGAGACTATTAGTATAAACAAAAACATAAAAGCAAACCTCTATATAGTTGATAATTCACATTTAAAGCAATTGCATAAAAGAAGTGTATATTCAATTCAAAAGCAAAAAATATAAAAATAGGAACTATTCTAATCCGATATTCCAAGTAAGAGTTTAAGGTTTTTATCGTAATTATCGCAAATATAAAATTGTTATGGGCTTGAAAAATTGTAATTTAGTATAAGAAAAGGAAAAGTAATAATTTGAACTAAAAAAGAAATTTTCTAAAAATGTTTGAACTATTTCCTTTTTAAGGCATTTGGCATTAAGAGAAAGTTTCCAAAGAGAGTAAATTCATAAAAACAAGAAAGAATTATACGCGCATTCTTTGGTCCCAATTCTGTTGTGAATTGTTAGCGACACTTTTTGATTTAAGGAATATGAATCACCCTGTAAAGCGAAATACAACGGAATAATTACGGAAGTGAAATTTCATCTCTTTTCTAATTAGGCAAATGGTGGAATAAAGCCTAAATTCATGCATCTCATTAAAATTTGAAAAAATAAGAATAGGAATAATTTACCCAGTTGATCGTAAAGATTAAACTCATTTCCCTGCACACTGTTCTCTAGTTCACCGTAGTAATCAACATCCTGGATAACAAGAAAAATTAAGATACAATTTTAACAATTCAAAAATTTAATTATATGTTTGTAAGTTGTAATTAATTTGCCATAAAAAACTTAAAATTATGGGAAACGCAAAAAATAAACAGTCTAGACTGCGGATTAATAAAGAGTTTAATCCTAGTCCTGAATGCTTTTTTATAACCGCATTTTCGACACAAGCGATGTTTATTAACATCACTAAATTCAAGTAAAGTCGTGTTTATAATCGTTTCCCTTAGATACCCATGTAAAAATGTCATGTTTGAAATATGTGTATGTTTCCTTTTTAACACAAGGTGTCCAGTTCATAACTGTTAAGAGACGCCTCGAAGATCGTTTTAAACTTGGAAATAATTTGCTGTACTTATGCGTCAATTAACTTTAACAGTATGCTTCTTTATAGGGATTGTTAAGGAAAAATGAAAGGGGGTACAGGATGAAACCTGAGAATCTCAGGCATTGAAATATACATATAAGACATCTATCCGATGTTCCTGTCTAAAGAAATTGATATTAAACTCTGTCAAAATTATACCAAAACGTATATATATGAGATTTTGTATGAGGTTCGTAGTATTAAACAGATCATATTCAACAAATACGCAACCAATCTGAAAATGACTATATCCCACAGAAGCATGAGAATCTCAGATTTGCTCCTGTTCCAGTTTTTTAATTTTTGTTTTGCATTTTTAATAGATATAATTGATAATATTACTATAACGTAGTGTACAGTTCATATTAGTCACCAGAACTTCCACCAATGGCAGAGCAGTGTACTTGTCACGAGACTCAGACAGAGGTCAGAGACATGTGTAAACGATACTATACCCCTTTAATTTTTCCTATACAATCCCTTTAAGCAAGTTATTTTAAAAAATATATATATAAATCTAAACGCAATTCCTCATATCATTTTAACATTGTTTTAAGACTTTTACTTGTAAAATAAGGTTAACGTAATCGAATGCCGCAAATAATTTCAAATATAACCTGAACTGCAATGTTTACTATGATACCCTGTAAGTATGTAAACTTGAAATTAAACGTTGGATTTAAGATATTCTGACGACGTACATAATAAGCTACTAAATTGTAGAGTATAAATGGAAAACGCCCCTGTTGAAAATACAAGAAGTATCAGGGCCGTATTTAGGATCTGGGAAGTATGATACATTTCTATACAAATAATATAAGAAATCAAAACAGGACGTTTAGATGAATAGATATATTCTTCAATAGACTGATATATTTACTGATATACAATACATATAATCAAGAAATGGGGATGGAAAATATGACATTGTAGGACCAAAAATATAAGTATGCATGCAGCTCAAAACAACCTTTCTTACAAAAAATATGGATTTTGGTTGGACATCACTTTATTTTTAAGTTAAAAGGATTATAGATTTAAATTTAAAGTAACCCTTAATATAAATGTGGCATGTCGAAATCACAATAGTACCCAAGCTTTGACTGATCTAGAATAAATGAGATATACTTGATGTTTCTAATTATTGTCTAAAGGTGAAAGGAGCAACACCTTAAATTACAATGACAGTCCCTTTAAATACGAGATTTGTCTTGAATGAAAATGAATTGTAATTGTATATTTTCTATTTTGGATTGCAATGGTGATGTAATCAGGGGATCTTTAAATATCATTTCATGATTAGACATTTGCTGAATTAAATTTAGCTAGATATTTGCCCCCGGCTATAGACAGTTTTCTTGTCTTAAAGGAACTGTTGACCAAATTTTAGGAAACCTTCCTTTTTCAAAGAGAGAAAACAACGATATCTTTCTCATTGTGTAAAGGGTACCAGGGTGTCAAGGGTACCAGGGTGTCAAGGGTACCAGGGTGTCAAGGGTACCAGGGTGTAAAGGGTACCATGGTGTCAAGGGTACCAGGGTGTAAAGGGTACCAGGGTGTCAAGGGTACCAGGGTGTCAAGGGTAACAGGGTGTCAAGGGTACCAGGGTGTCAAGGGTACCAGGGTGTCAAGGGTACCAGGGTGTCAAGGGTACCAGGGTGTCAAGGGTACCAGGGTGTCAAGGGTACCAGGGTGAATCGGGCATGTACATTTTGAAAAGAAAAGTCACTTTTAAAATGTCATAAAAAACGTGATGTTTCTACAATAGTTTTTTTTCAGTGATAACTTTTTTTATGCATTGTCGTGGAAAACTTCTTTCGGATTCATCTGAGACATATTAAACTTTTTAAAGATCTGTAAATCGTGAGTTTGAGCGAAAATTCGCCGTTCAAAACTCCTACTTTGGGGGTGGATACCTTTTCAGAATTAGTTTTTTTTTTAGATTATTAAATAACGGATAACGATTTTAAGAAACGAATCGTAGAAAATTTTACAATAAGCATTATTCCATAGCTGTGAAAAATTATCTCTTTGTCATATCGTTTATTAGACCATTTACAGCTTTATTTAGGGATAAGGATAAAAACAACTTCGTCATAATTACAGGGTTTCAGGTAGTCATTAAAGTCTCATCTTTATAGGAAACTCTGTCCCTGTATACTGTATAGTATTTGATTACCTGCTGCTCTACTGGTTTCCACGTTGAAAAATCCTGGATCAAAGTTTATTTATTTTTAATTGTTTAATTTTAAATGTTTCCATAAACATAGTATAAAGTCGACCCTTAAGTATCCAAACCCTAAACTTTTAAAATCAAAATTTGTCAAATTCGATCAGTATTCAATCGTTGTCTGTCAGTCTATTCGTCTGCTTATTTAAATGTCTGATAAAAACTCCGATTGATTGTAAAACTCGGTAGAAACACGGGAATAGTATTAGTTTGGTTTGCAAGATCAAAGTTGGGTGGCCTGGATTAAACAGGGAAAACTCCAGACAACACTGTGTTCCCAAGCTTGTAAACATATTTAAAGATGCCGTGAGAATTGTATTTTGTGAATAATTAGCTTTTCTAAGAGTCACGTATTTTCATTCTTGTTATGGCACTCCCCAGTCCCCTTGGTCTCATTTAGAATTCAAAAAACCCTCCTAAGTCCCTTGTCAACTTTAATACTGAGTCATTTAATGAAGTTAATTGGGTAGAACATGATTTAAATGCATGATCTTGAATCCGCACCTTTTCAAGGATTTTTTAACATTATCTTTATTTTACAGAGCGGTATCAAGCATTTTTAAACATGTCATTGGCTTTTATTTGAATAAATACAGTTAGAAAAAGGTAGTTTTAGAATTTAAATGAATTGAAAAAAATGATAAACATCGCGTTAAACATTTTACAATCTTCTTTTATAAAGATATTATTCCCATAATTAAAAATTCACACACCATTACAATTTTTATGATTTTTTAATGAACACAATTATAGAATGTTTGCTCTTAAAGTTCAAAATGATTTTCCATCAAAATAATATTATTTTTCATACATCAGACTCTTGCATGATATCATGTCGATACTAGAAGGTGGCAAATCTAAAAATCTGGGGATGCTAGCAAAAAAATAATTGATTTTTTTACAGGATATATCGATCTTTTGTGTTTAAATTTAAAAAACATTTTAATATGAAATTTACAGCTGTTCAGAAACACCAAAACCGGGCCAGTCTTGAGGGTGGTTCTGAAATATGCAAAAAAAACTAGCAGCACCAAAAGAAATAATTTTCTTTTTCAAAATGACCGAACAACAAGAAAATGGAGATTTTGAAAAGCAGAAATGTCAAATACTTGCAGCTGATATCATCTAATTAAAAAGAATTCGTAAAAATCTAAATTTAAAAAAAATAAATATGTAAAAAAATGTTTGGGTGTTTTGTGTGTATTCAAGGATACAATTATGTTTACCCAAAATTATCTATGAGTGAAGATGAGTGTGGGCCAGCTTTCTTCTTTGATGAATTTACCATAAAACATAAGTTAAAAGTTTGTGTACTATTTCCACTTTTCAAATTTCGCAACCATTCTCTTTAAAAACTAGTTTTTACTGGTGTATATCCCTCTGATTCATCTTTTAAAAAACATCCAATTAATAATAAAACTTTCCTTGAGGTTTTCTAGTGGATTGTTGGTCGTGTTCTCAAAGTAACTAACGATCCCTCCGTCGAATGCATGAAAGAGTTTATCATATAAATCACTTTGATTTTCTAATTGCTCCGACAAATCATCTTCCTGTGCCAAGTCTGTATTGACAAGAACGCTTGAAGTTCCATTATCATCACGATTTGCTCTGATCACGGGTACACTGGTTGCGGATTTGCTTTCTAGATTAGAGGATTTGTTCAGCTGTTGATCAGCTGAAAGTTGTAAACGCGCAACAGAAGGGGTCACTGTTACATCAAAATCAAACTCTTCGTCGGCCTGAATATTAGTGAAGACAGATGCAGGAATTCGAACTATTTCACCGGGTTTTGTTTTAGCAAAATGTTCAGTCACCTCTTTATGTGATATATGTTCTGTGACGGGGTGGGAAGTGTACTGCTCTGTGCAGAACAGTACAAGGATACAGAGGCGCCACATCGTGCACAACTGCACACTTCTGAAAATATTAAAATGTTGTAATATATTTTTTAAAGGATTGAATATTGGGACATACAAGCAAACTCTAAAAAAATTGTATTCATTTTTTAAAAAGTTTATTTTGTTAAAAAATGCATTTGGCGTTAAAAGTTACATCCTGATAGTAAATAGTACGCTCTGCATATAGTGTTGAATTAAATATTCTTTGTTTGTTGAAACAAACTTTGACCCTTTTTGCGTGAGTTTACCAAAAGTTAAAAATCAGTTTAAAAAATCTAAATTAAAAAAAAAAACTTCATGATAACGGATGAAAACGTTTTGAAATATTATTCATTTATAGACAAGATGTATCTTAATTATTGTTTTAAATAAAGAAATATACTTTTAAGATTAGTCTCTCCCCTTTTATCTGCTCTCAGCTGGGTTTCTAGGCTTGGTTTGGTTGTTGCCAACCTCGTAAAAACCTTTGTATTCAACAAATATGATAGAATATCAATTCTCTGTGCGTAACAGGGAGAAAATGAAAATTCAAGACCCTGAAGTTCCCGGCGTCGCAAATGGACTTTAAAAATCGACTGTTAAGACTTCAATCGTATAATTCTAACGTTGAATTGGTCTTGCAGCAATTGTTTTTCTTATAATTTTATGGTTTTATTACAACAACTTGAGAAAATATTTTACCCAGATGTGCTGTAAGACAAAGCACAAAAGTTACAAACACCCTATTGCATTTAGTTAAGGAGCGGAACCTAACTCAATACAAAGGTTCCAAAAAAATATATAATTAAAACTAAGTGTCTAAAGTTTAAGAAAATAAGAAAGGCTTGTTCATTTTCCAGTTTAGAATTTAAAAATAAGTTCTTTGATTAGATTTTTAATTTTTTTTTACTTCTTTCATCTCTTACATTATGATCCACCTTCCAGATTGCTTTCCTGATCTTATTGCTTTTTAATCTTATAATATACTTTTTAATCTTATAATATACTTTTTAATCTTATAATATACTTTTTAATCTTATAATATACTTTTTAATCTTATAATATACTTTTTTAATTTTTTAACTTTTTGGATCTGATATTTTTTACACATTCTAATTTTTTTAACATTTGAGCTTAATAAATCTTTTTCCTTTTAGCAATAAAATCTAAATTAACTGATCTACGATGGCATTGGAAATTGTGTGCTGTGTTCAGTGTGCAATGGGCTTGAAAAAACAACTTATGAAAGATAAATTTACTGACGTAATGAAAATCGTGAACTGTAAACAGTAAACACTAGTGATGACTGAAAATCTATCTGGGTAGGGCCTGGAGAACACAGAATACATTGGTTCTGACTGAACAGATGGTTATTCTATGCATATATACAGGACCACGCCAAACTAAGCATATATCCAGGACCACGCCAAACTAAGCATATATCCAGGACCACGCCAAACTAAGCATATATCCAGGACCACGCCAAGCTAAGCATATATCCAGGACTACTTCAAGCTAAGCATATATCCAGGTCCACCCTAAACTAAGCATATATCCAGGTCCAAGCCAAACTAAGCATATATCCAGGACTACTTTAAACTAAGCATATATCCAGGACTACTCCAAACTAAGCATATATCCAGATCCACGCCAAACTAAGCATATATCCAGGACCATGCCAAACTAAGCACATATCCAGGACCATGCAAAACTAAAAATATATCCAGGACCACGCCAAACTAAGCACATATCCAGGACCACGCCAACCTAAGCATATATACAGGACCACGCCAACCTAAGCATATATACAGGACCACGCCAAACATCCGCGTATATATCCGCGTATATGTTAATTAATAGAAACAAATTAAGTTAAATAGATAAAAATATGTTTAAAAACTGTCAATAACTTAATTCTTTCATAATCGAATATCCCGCAATTATTGTTTTGATTGAATATCATATGCAATTAAATTTTATTTCGAATATTATAAAGTAAATGTCTAAAATATATTGTTATATTTTTGATAGGTTTTATTTAAAGTACTTTTATATTTTGAAATAATACAATAATGAAATAAATTATCAAGAATATCGAGATTATATTTGTTTTTGTAACCTTGACAAATCTGAAGAATCGTAAAATATTCAAAGAATTCTTGGAATTAAAATATTTCAGTTTTTAACTTCACATTTTTTATTAAAAAAGAATTATTTTACTAAACATAATGTTTCACGCCATCATGACGATCTTCAGTAGTTACAATTCTTTGAACAACTATGTATATATATATATATATGCAAGTAGATAAATTATGTATATCACATATAATTTAAATGTATACATCATATATTATATGTATATGGCATTCATTCATATTGCCATGGAACTAGAAAAACTTTAAAAATTTCAGAAAGCAAGAAAAAAAATTCTGAAGAACTTTTTTTCATAAAATTCTGAACAATTCAAGGGCGTTTCCGCATTTATTACTGAATAAATTGCATGACTTTTCAGCACGTGAACCGTTTATTTTTTCAAAATGAGATAATTGGCTCAGTTTCCATCAAAAATTAATTTAAAAAGATTAGTGTTGACGAAGAAAATATATAGCTGGCTGTAACAATTAAAGTTCAAAATCGGTATATTCCTAGAGAACGATTTTTGGACCCCCCCCCCAGGCCCCCCCACCTCCTATCAATTTTGTACATGGGTCTGACAGGAAGTGTCTTAACTTAACCTAACCCGTGGCCGCAGCGCTCGGCTCCCTAGCCTGTCCTAGCCGCAGCGTTTGGCCCAGAAAGTGTCTTAACTAATCTAACCCGTGGCCGCAGCGCTCGGCCCCCTAGCCCATCCTAGCCGCAGCGCTCGGCCCAGAAAGTGTCTTAACCTAACCTAACCCTAAATAACAAAAAAATAAATAATAATAAATTTGCAGAAAAATAAATGGTCATGTACAAAATTGATAGGAGGGGGGGGGGGTGGGGGGGGTCCAAAAATCGTTCACTAGGACAGACCCTCAAAATCGATTAATTAGAGAACTTTCAAATACTTTGTTAAAAGGACATAAAAATGCAAATTTTAAGATGTTGCATTAAATATCAATATTGAATTTTCAACATCTGTCACATCTATCTATCTATCAAAAATATATCATTATATATTATCTATATATAAAACCCAAAATAAACAATTGTCTTTTTAAACATTTTGCTTTAACAATTTACAAAAAATTAGGATTCGAAAACAGTCCAATAAGATGAACAAATCCAAAAGAGTTAACTAGTTTTTAATATGTCTTTACTTTCAATCAAGTGCAATAACGCATTAAAATATTAAGTTTCGTAGTTTAAGAAAATATTTGTATTACGTCAGAAAAATACGAATGAATTGATTAATGACCCTACAGCTAAGGCCAGGTAAACTACCTTGTATTACATGTCTTCTTCATGTATAGCCTCAAACCTTCATGTCATAGACAACGTAGAACTGGAAACACTTTCGTTTTAGAGAATATAAATAGTAAAAAATTTCACGTTCTTTTTTTCTTGATTCATAAAAAAATATGTCTGAAATTAGAACAATAAGTTGGTTATTTGCTGATACGGTCATTTTCTGTTGTAGTGTTTTGACCTAACACTGTTTAAGGTTTCGTCAAAGTTTAATGAGATTCTATCAAATTTCAAAAGAGTACCTAAAAATTTCAAGAGTTTTAAGAGTTTTTTTTTGTGAGTTTTCGAGAAATCGAACCTTCTTAACGTAGATAGGATCAATTCAAACACTGCGAAATTACCGACTGGAGAAATTTTTAACAAAATTATTCACTTCTTTAAAAATAAGCTTTTAAAGACTAGTTTTTTGTAGATATTAGTTTCTAAATCGCAGTTTCTACTGCAAGAAATCAATATACTTGAATTGCCTTGCTCCGGGGTATGTAGTTTTTATACGGTATTGAAGGTTACATACAAACAACAAATACACAAATCAACTGATTATGTTTAGTTATGGAGTTAATAATTTTACCCCTTTTGATCAACAGACCCATGATTCCCAACAGCGTGATATCAAGGTACAGTAAAAGTAGCATTTTATGACTTAATTGCAAAGATAAAAATGTCCAATTTACAACAGTACCCGTAAAAAATTCTGATCAAGTATAAATTAGATATCAATGTTTCTTATTTTAAAAAATGAATATTCTTAATTATGAGTTCTCTACAATGTGAGTTCCTACAGCAGGGAAACATACAGAAATTATCAGAATTAAACATTTGTAAATCTATAAAAACGACAATATCTTCGTTTTAGGGTATTAGGGAACCGATGTGAATCGGGCATTGGTAATTTTGTATAGAGGGTCACTTGAAATCATGCTTACAGTCTCTTTAACTGTTCCTGGGGACGATTCAGTTCAATAACATCCGGCTTTGCGAATTTTTCGATAAAGCATTCGCGCATTTCCACTGAACACAACGAAAAAAGTTGTCACTCTTGTTCTGCCTTAGAACTTCATACTACAATATTTTTATTAAAAAAACTGGATCCTGAGCTAATCTTGTTTTCACAACACAATATAAACAAACATATCCCTGTATCCTTAATTCTATTTTACTTGTATTCCAGCTGATTTAACACATGAATGATTTACTATCATAAATTGACATTGAAATGATGGTAGGTCTACTAATGCGGAGCTTCAGGAAAATGTTGGTATTGGACTAAATGTCAGTTTCCCGAGGATTACTCAAGCTTGACATTTTAATTCTTGCAATTTTATGGATAGAATATGAGGGAGGCCTATCCCAGTATTCTGAATGCAACTCAAATTCGTTCAATCATTTATATCCATACAAATATTCAGGGAGGATTTAAAATATTGTAAAATGAGATTATATTTTGTTACACCCTTTAGTAAAATCGTCATTTAAGATCTATACACTGAATACAGCACTGTATAACTAATACTACATGACAGGCACTCCACTTATAAATCCTCCCTATGCAGACGGATCAAATCAAACCTATATGCCCCAGGTCTACAG